TCTATTTATACTACATGTAATGTGTGCGTTTTATGTAATTGCGAGTTGACATCATTTCATTTACATTTCAAAGTTTTTTCATCTTGAACAAATTTAAGAATAAAACAAATGAACTTGTTGATGTTGAACATTAAAACAATGTGGGAATTGAAAGAATAAAAAGAATGACAACTGTCAAAGCTCATTAAATTAATAGCAAATTACAATAAAGACCATATTAATTGGTAATAACGACAAAAGGGAAATCGGCCTTTTCAATTGGAAATATTTAATTATTTTATTGATTTGCTTGAATTACAAATAAAGATCATGATATAAATCGTTACAATACAATACATGAATGATTAATAAAAGGGATTTTTAATTGATATTTAAGTTAAATTTCAAAAACAACAATTTAAATAATTATAATTTTAAATATTATAACCAAAATTTTTCTTTAAAATAGTTTTGTTAAGTTAAATTAAACATTTATTTTATTATTATTGTTTTTATTGTTTAATATTTTTATTATTATATGATAACATATATTTCAATTAATCAATTATGTTTTAAAATAATCAATAGTATATACTTAATTTAAAAAACTATTAATTATATCAGTCAAGAACGATAATGCCATGTATTTACGTGGCATTACACATTTTGTAAAACGCAAAAATTTACCTTTGGTTTTGTGTTCCAAATACTTCTTTTCATTCCACGGGTTTTTTCTAACCTATTATCTTGATTTTTCCTTTCAAAAATTGTTATATTTTATAATAAAAATGCTATAATATTTAGTTCTGGACATCAAGAACTATTTAAACTCGACAATTGAAATAATAAATAAAACATACACGAGTCGAAAACGGTGTATAAAATTTGAGCAGGGTCTGGAACACAAGAGGAACTTAAGGTTATGTCTTCATGGAGTTGTATACAGTCTACAGCTATTTGAGTTGGTCTTAATACAATCAGAAAAGTGACTTGGGGGCTTTGTCTTCACAAAGCTACAAATCGATACCATTTATATCAGTTTAAATACAATGTGTAAATTATTCGTTATTCATTCTTTTCCTATTTTTTTATTGCTCATTTTTTGACTTTAATTATTTGAAAAAAATGAACAAAATTCTATTTTTGTTCATTTCCATTTTTATGGAAATTATAATTCAACATTAGTTTTGATGTATTTAAAAATATATTTGAGTTTTCTTTATAAGATAAATTTCATATTTAATTTCATTTACTCAATATAATTTTTGTTATTCATGTTACAATAACAATAAAAAGCCAAAACTTTTTTTAAAAACATTCAAAAAAAACAATTTTGAGAAATTATGTTTTACCATCTTTTTAAAAATTTTAGACTGGGCATTTTAGGAGTTGCGACTTCATACACCTATTTCATAAATGTCAGAGTCCAAACCGTTTTTTTGAGAGTCTTGAATGTCAATAAAAATATATTAATTAAATATAATGCAAATACCAATACTAGAAAATTTATTTCCATAACATCAAAAAATAAAGTCTGTCTAAAAACGTTGTCCATTCGACAAAATTTTACACAAAATAAGTTTAAAAATTTAGG